AATATCAAAAATAAAAATATACAAAAAATTAACAAATAAAAAAATACATCAAACATAATCGGTTTATTAATTTTTAATAAATTTCAAATTTTCAATAGATGAAAGACTCAACATAAATATATCCATAATTTTTTTTTACTTGAAAAAAAATTTTAAAATATATTATTTTACTAACATAAATTTTTATATTTTTTATTGTATCAAATAAATTTTTAATTTTTAATTTATATCCAAATAAATTTTAACATTTAACTTGTATTTAAATACGTTCTTAATATAAATTAATTTTTCAAAAGTAAAAATTTATTTTGATACAATAAATATATAAAATTCATTTAAAAAATAAAATAATTTAGAAAATTTTTAAATATTTTAATTGCTTTTTTTTTTCAAAGAATGTATGTCTTTATCATCTTCTCTCATATCACCCTAATATCAGCATCAATCTTACAGTCCACAAAGAACGCGCACTTAAAATTAAATCAAATTTAGGTGATCAAAGACCGATATTTAATGTACATAAAAATCTTGTCATTTTTTTTTTTTTGGTTTTTTATAAATTTTTTGGAACTTTGGGATTATAGTTAATATGTATCCGACAAATCAAAATCATGTTACTCAAATATTCTCAATGAAACTAAGATTAAAAAAAAATAGTTCAATTATTTTATACAATTACTCTTAAAAAAATATTTAATTAATTTAAAATTTAAATTTTAACACTTACAATCATTTTACCTATTTTTAATCCATGTTTCTTTTGTATTAAAAAAAAAACACATCAGCACGATTAAAATGCAAGTTTCTTGTCAATTTGGAAACGAATTTTGAAATTTTAATTAAATGAAGTGGTGACATTGAGTCATGGTATTTAGCATTTATAGTATAGATGCCTATAATTGACATTATTAGAGACAAAATGCACAAAACCCAGAATTCTCTTAGTGTTCATAGATTTTGTCATGATGAACCAAAAAGAAATGTGGTCCAATGTTTACCATAAATTTGTTTAGACTTTAACAACATTTTTCAATAGGTCAATAATCATGCTCTTGTGTTCAAAAAAACCCAACTTGAAAGTCTAAAAATGGTTTATCGACGACTATTTAATAACCACAAGAATAATTATTTCAAGATTTTCAATTGTTTTTACTTATTCGGATTGCCAAAATCTTTGAAGGACGCACTAAGCCTCAAATATCCTAAACGAGGAAAATGAAAATCATTTTGTTGATTGCTGTTTGACAATTCATATTGCATGATGATTTCGTATCAAGAAAAAAAGTATATACAAATTATAAGGCATTATTGCGAATGAGAAGCAATTTCTGCATGGAAAATCTCCAATGAAAACAATTTCTTTAAAAAATATATATATATATATTTTACCGATTTACCAACATTTTAATTTTAGGACCTTTCACACTGGATAAAGGAACATATGATTGATTTTTGGTTTCTTTAAAAATATCTGAAAAGATCAAATATATTAAATAGTATTATATATTAATAACGAAAATTATTCTATCTATTAAAAATGGATGTTGTGGTATAGCTAACAAGAAGAGATTAAATTTGGTCATTTGTGTATAAATATTGTATAATATAAAATATCGATAACTTATATATTTATATTATATTTTATATAAAAATTATATTGTGTCAACGAAAAATATAAAATATATTTTTTATCTTTATTAAACCCATATGAATTTTTTTGATTAAAATTTTAAATTGTAAATATCATTTTAATTCATATTTTTTATATTATTTTCGTATCTTATCGTTGCATGTATAACAAAGGTCACCATGTTTCCGGTGATGGGCCTCCAGCTAGTAGTATGGTATGGTTGCCTCAAGAATTTGACCCTGTTTTGATTGTTTCTTTACGCATGCTAAACCCAATAAAGAAAAAAAAATGCAATGGGCTTTCCTTGATATAAATCATAAATATTTATACAGAACAAGCTAATATGGTTCTGTTACTGCAAAAAATTGACCAACTTGGATTCAACAAAGAAACGATTGATTTCTCAGTAGTTTCCTCCATGAATGTAATTGTATGTTAGATTTTCGTAATCCCAAAACAGATTTTATTTCGTCCCTGTTAAACCAACTAAAAATCTAATTCTTCTGATGGTTATTTTTGGATTTGGGCTTGAATCTCACGACAAGAAACAACAGGAACAAGACCGAGATATGTTGTCTGGCAAAGACCTTTCTTCCGAAAGTTCTTTAAGATAATTGGTGTCGTTTTGAAGTGCATCACAGCCTTAAAAGCCACATTCAGTTTATATGCATACAGTGGTTCAATTGCCAAAGAGTAATCGAACTAGGAATGAACAACATTAACACAAACATTCGAAGCGGAATTTTGATATGATTACTTGGCCTGCCAACTGCCTCCCGATGCCCTTGTTCAGTTCCCTGTCATGCCACTGGACAAACAAATGGACAAGTGCTTGGTGCTGATAGCACATTGCTATTGCTGCTAGTGGTTGGTTAGACGTCGTTGTCATGACAGTGACGAGATATATATATATATATATATACATATATTATATTTTAAGAAGAAGAAGATGAATGTGACGACACTAATTCACATATATGTCATATTAACGTGATGCACGGTTGAGAAGTGAAAGATTTTACTATAATAACAGTGAATCGGCACCCACGTTCTTTTTTAAAAATTCACCTTAACTTTTTATCTTTATCCCTTGAATTGATCCGGGAATATATTAGATGTTTAAATCTTTTTAAATTTGTAATTTTAAAAAATCTGATCATTGTACATATCATATAAGCAAATATTCAATTTAGAATTAAGAGGCATAATTTTTGTTTTGCTAATATGAAAGTAGTTTGAATAAAAGGATTTGGCTAGTTACCTTTAACTATGCCTTTTTTTTTTCTTGTCATATTAAATAAGCTTGGATTATTAGTTAGAAACTAGCAAATACAATCAAAACAATGAGTAATGATCTATCTCCAAAAGAATTCTTGAACAGATTCTCGCCATGACAGCGCAAGCATAAGCACCACCAAAATACCAGCTAGTCCCCATGACGATCCCCCAATTCTGAGCACCCAGGATGGATCTGAAGATGAAATTACCGAAGCTCTACCTCCACTTTGCGTAGATGATGACGATGAAGAAGAAGATGTAGTCCTAATGGCGACAATAAGCCCTGCTACAACCATTGGAAGAACAAATCCAAAACTCAATTTCATCTCATAACACCGCTTCTCGTTTTTCCTTCTAACGTACAACGGAGATAGAATTACTGCTGTAATCAGAGCCAATACCATGGCCACACCTCTTTGTGATGTGTTGTTTCGGCTTGCATAAGTGTATGTAGCCATTGGTAGCTAGTAGCAAAAGAAATGAACCAACTAATTATAATCCCTCTGCAATAAGATTAATGGGAGGTTGGTGTTGAATTTAATGGAGGTAGAAGATAAAACAAGTGAAGGAATCTAGTTGGAAAGCTGGTAATTCGATGACAAAAGTGATAAACAGCCCGTCCAAAAGGTGAAAAAGGTGAAAGGAATAAAAATATTTAACAAAACTTGAAGAAAAGGTGAAAAAGTATGGGGAAAGGAAAGAAAGGGATTTCAAAGACTTGGAAGTTAAGGTGTCTTAATGTCTTTTCATCTAAATTTAACTGCCTTTATACATGAACATAAGCATTGCTAGCTATGTTTAAGATTCACCTTCCTTTCTTATAAAAAATTTACATTCAATTAAAAAATCTCATGATTTTATCTTATATATAAAAAGCTTCACCAAATATTGATTTAAATTTATATATATATATATATTATATCATCTCTTAACATAAAATTTATCTATCTTTTTATATGCTGACAAAGAATACTCTGATAATGCTCCCAAATACAGCCTACATACTATCTAAATCATTGGTTACACAAACAATTGCTGGTGCCTTTGAGCCGATATCAATATCATGAAGAAATTTTGCATTATTTCACTAAAATTTTTAATTTTTCTAGGATGATAATTATAAAGTATTCTTTTCCACTCCCTTTGAGCTTGGTTTTAAGGAAGATAAAAATATTTATGTACCAAATAGAAAAAACGGATAAAAAATCGTTGCCTAGTTATTATTTTCTTTCAAATCATTTCCCTTTTTTCTTCCCATTGCTTCTGCTTTACAAGTTTCCCCACAATCTCTGTTTTCAAGAAAAATGTTGTTCCTGTGTAAATTAAATGATGCTTGAATTGTCGTTTTTGATGTGAAGTTCCTGATAATAATTAAAGAAAGAAGATTTATACATAGGCATAGTTGTCAAAGGAAGCAATTGATATGGATGATTGTCATCTCAATGATATGACTATATTATCTTTTACTTTGTCAACTTGTCACCTCTTTGGGTTTTTTTTTTTTGGACCAATCAGCCTGTCTTCATGGCCTAGCTTCCAGGATTCTACCTCCTTCAATTTCTTGGGCCACCTCAGCCTGCAATATTTTCCTAATTGTTTATTGCAATTTGCAACTCCTTGTAATGGGCTGGCATTGACAATTTTTTTTGGCTATTGCGTGTAAAACTAAGATGGAGTTACTTGACAAAATTCTTTGGAAATGAAGTTTTCTTCCAAGGAGTTCTTAAAACATTTTGGTAATCTCATTTTAAGAAAATTGATATCAACATTTTCCTAATTTTTTTTTTAAAAATTAAGATTGGCGTAAAGTTGGAAATTCAAAATAAAATTCTTAAATTCAAGTTTACAATTGAAAAAAAAATGTTTAAGTAAAAGTTAAAAACATACTAAAAAACTCAACTAGATTTTTAAGTTCGTTCAATTTTAAATCGATAACCTTTAAAAAGTAACTTTCAACGGATTTAAAATTTATATATAATCTATTTCTTTATTATCAAAGGCTACTATATTCTTTGTATAAAAAAAATTAAACAAAGAGATTTAAAATTCAAACTTTTTTTTATGTCGTTTTCAATGACCAAAATCATCCATATCTGAACCCATTTGCGCAGACAAGTGCACATGCAGGTGATTAGAAATGTATAAATGCATAAAATAATTTCTTAAAAAATTACGAAATTTAATCTATTTATAACTGTTATACTATAACTTGTTTGAAATATTTGATACGATTTAGTACTACTAGTATTTAAAACGTTGAAATTTTGTTTCTGAAATCTGATTCCGAAGCAAATTATCAATGGAATCCACAAAGCTCTGGCATGTCATCTCCTTGTATCTCTCAACCGCCCTCGTCATTTTCCGCAACTTACTTCTTTACATTCTCAACTTAAACCAGTCACCTCTCCTGACCAAATTCATGGATGCAATCTTATCTTTTTATTTTCGTTTATGTGATCTGTCTCCCTGCGCCATTGATTTGGATGAGCAGACCACCATCCATTTCTGGGTCGCCAACCACCGGCGTTTTGACAAGCAATCTCTTGTCATGGTCCATGGCTATGGTGGCAATTCACTCTGGCAGTTTCTTTATCAAGTTGGTCCTCTGACTAGAAAATTCAATGTATACATCCCGGATTTGTTGTTCTTTGGAAAATCGTACTCGAAAAGCCTGGACAGATCTGATTTATTCCAGGCTAAGTGCTTATCAGATGGGTTGAAGAGGCTGGGAGTTGATAAGTTCTCTGTCTATGCGATCAGTTATGGAGGATTCGTGGCGTATCGGATGGCTGAGATGTACGCTGATGCGGTGGAGAAGGTTGTGATCGTGAGCAGTGGGATATTGTATACTGATGATCAAAGGGTAGAGCAGTTGAGGAAAATTGGAAGGCATCCCTCTGAGATTCTTGTTCCGAAGAACCCAGATGATTTAAGGTTACTCGTCAATCTGTCAATGTACAAGCAGAATTCTCTCTACTGGCTTCCTGATTTTTTACTCCGAGAGTTCATAACTGTGAGTTTATGCCTGTTCTCCATGACTCAATTAATCTAACGTTGTATGTCATATCAGAGAATGACAAATCAAGCTTAAGTCTTTCAGATGATGTATGATCATTGTCGGAAGGAAAAGATTGAGCTGGCAAAGCACTTGGTGGAGAAGAAAGCAGATACCAACCTTCCTGTTCTAACTCAGGTTGCTTGACTGAAACCATGTTTTGGGTATATCTTTGTTTCTTATTTCTAGTAAAATTACCAGTTCTGAATCTAACTTAAAGGGATTATGTTTGGATGAAGGAAACACTACTGATTTGGGGGGATCAGGACAAGATTTTCCCATTAGAACTTGCACATCAGTTGCAAGGGTAAAAAATAGTTCTGTTCATAATCTTTTTACTAACTATACTTCTAAGATTTATTTCCAATTTGAAGATTTTCGTGGCAATTTCATGGATACAGGCACTTGGGTTCAAAATCAAGGTTGGAGATAATCAAGGATACAGGGCATGCTGCAAATATGGAGTCACCTGATAAGATCAATAAGTTGGTAATATCATTTGTTTCAGGTTGCTCATCCTAGCATGATCATCAAATAACTATGATAAGCTTGTACTTCAAACATATTGAATCAGTGATCAGTATCTTTTGCTTCTTTATCTTTTTGAGCAAATTGACAATCAGATGAAATGTTGATACTTGTAAAAAGGAAAAGTCCCCAAGCAAAGCACGTTAGTCTAATCATACAGCTTCAAGTCATTTATAACTCGCACATGAGCAGGCGAGAATGGCCTCAAATTAAGATTGGTAAGGGCCTAAGGATTGGAATTGATGTGTTTTGGTCTTAAACATGAATTTAAATCTCAATTTGCTAACATAATTGCAGTGTTGTCCATATGAAAATTGATCGAACACTAGGATAATAACCGTCCTTCACACACAGTTTTTTACTTTACGAATTCGCATAGCAGGGATTATTAGAGAACAAGAAAATCTAGAAGTGATTTGAACTCTCCCCTACCTTGATATATAGCTTCCACAACGAGCAAAAAGATACCGGCTGGCATTTCCACCACATCCAACACACCGTAATTGTCTTCAACTCTCATCTCCCAATTGCAATGCTTGAGCTTCATCTCTGGTATCCTCTACTAACACTTCTCCCACAAACGCATCTTCTCGCACCTTTCCTCTTTCCCTTCATTCATCTTTCCTTGTTTTGTTAAAGATTTGGCTGCCTCTCCTTCCATCACTCTTCTTTCTTCGCTCTCTCGCCTTTTAAATGCTGCGTTTGTTGAGTCCAAAAACCTCCATATGTACTCCACTCTCCATGGGAATCCTGCAGCTAAATCTCCACAGTTGCTGCAACTACAGTCCTTGTTGTTGTCCCTTACAATCACCCCTTTTGGCTCTGAACTTCTCAGTACTTTCAAGAACTCCGTTCTTTTATCAGGCCTGTTGTGATTTAGATGAAGTCTAAATTATTACGCACAAAAAATTAAGGTCTCTCCATGTGAGTTGTGAATAATTTGTGCATTCAGGTTTTGTAATGGATGGTTCTCGAGTCTATTGTAAATTGATGTTCATGGAGTTGGCAAAACCTGGAAGTCGAGAATAGAATTTGTGACTTGGTGGACAAACACAAAAAATGGTGTCTATGATTTTATTATTTACAGCAGTGGCTGGCTGCAACAACTGTGATGCGAACCAGAAAGGAGGCTCTCCAGAACGGCTAGTCAAGACCTCAAGAAGATACCCCAATATCAAGAATATGAAGATTAGACTTCTTCTCCGGCTCTTGAGCAAGAATTTGGAGTATGGAAGCGTTTGCTATGTTTGATACAAGAAATAACAGAAAGGGATAGCCACCAAAGATCAGAAAGTTTTACATTAAGTTATAATAATGTGTATCAACAAAGAACTCTTCATTAAAAGTCTGAAAATAGAGAAATCATCATTGACATCCCAGAACACTAGTTGTAATAATACCATAGGAAGTTTTATGAGTTTGTTGAGTAATTATAGCAATGATATGAAGGCAATTGTTAGAAGGATTAAAGCAATAGTTAAAATGATTTGCTGTGATTGGGATCACACTGCTTATCGCTGACTCATAATTTTCATAAGAAGACTGATTTCCCAGTCAAAACCCCAAAGGCCCAAACTTTCTCAGTTAAGCCTTTATATTTAGACCAATTATGTCTTGAGTCAGAGAAGCAGCTGCATCCAACTGTCAAGAAAAAGCTTCACAACAAAAGAGATGACACAGTGACTGATATAGAAAAAGGTGTGTTTCAAGGAAATATGTTGGGTTAACGAGTGGAAAGGCTGAATTAGTTGAGACTGAAACATCACTCAAAAAAGGAGAGAGAGAGAAGAGGCATGTGTTTTTGGGGCAGAGAAACAGAGAGTGAACAGTCCTCTCCTCTCCCTCAGAGTGCACTTTCCTGACACACCTGCTCAATTTCAACATAAGGAAAAAGATTTTTGCTTTTAAATTGCAAGCAAACAAACCAAAACTTGTTTTTAACCAATAGACTATCACTTGTTCTTCGACATAAATAATGGGACGAGGTCAGATGGTTTTCTTGCTCGCCTCATAAGTCGATTTGATTTTAATGAAGTTTAAAAAAGGTTACTAGGAATTTAATACTTCCAGGAACAAGGGAAACTAAACACCAACAAACATTAATAAATGACCGGGAAGGGAAAAATAAAATTATTAAAGAATCAAAAGAAGGTAGCAAGGGAATTAAACCAGTGTCCGAGAAATTTTTTGAAAAAAGAAAAGAAAAGCAAGCCTCAGCAGTCAGCACTCATCAGCCTCAGGTGGCGGTTTCCTCTGCGCATCAGTATCCTGACACAAAAATAACTTCTCCTTTTCTTATGCAAACTTTGCTATGTCCACCAATCATATTAATATTGGCACTTCTTCATTGTTCTACTATTTCTCTTCATAATTATGCATGGTATTTGACTCTCTGTATGTATATATACATGCATTAATATAAATGTCGTTTTATGATTGGACTGTTACAATAAATGATAAAAAATTGAAAATATAGCAGTTGAGGTAAGAAATTTCTGGACTGTTCACATGATCATTGAACCTGATCAAAATAAAGCTGAAAAAGCATGTATTATTATTCTTATGATAGAAAAGGAGATTGTAGAAAAATGATGAAAATGTAAATGAAAACAGCATCATCCATCCACTATATTATTTGAGTACTACAATGGCATCTTCACATAATGACATGGCACTCATTTCAAAGAGAAATGACGTGGAGACAGCAAAAGAGAAAGGTGTGCGCATGTAATCAGACAAGTCAGTAGTACTCACCTGGTTTCTCTACGTATATATATACTATAATAATACTGGTAGAAGTAGTATTACAGTATTTGTTCTTCTGCTTTTTCTTTACACATTTGATTCGTTTATGGATTTTTGTAAAGATGTCAGAGACAAAAGCAACAACGAAGGCAGCGGCAGCAGCAGCAGCAGCATAGCAGAAGCAACAGAGTTTGCAGTCATAATATAAGAGCAGAGTTACTCAGTGGGAAGAGAGGAAATAAAAAATTAGGTGATGGCAGCAATATAATCAGAGTCATTAGTTTGTTTTTATCCATGCATAGAAGAAGATTCAGCTACCCAATTGACTGAATAAAGCTACAAGCCCCAAAGCAACTCCTCTTTCTGAGAGCTTATTAGATTGGTTCTTGTTCTACTTCTTGTTCCTTCTGAAGATTATATATAAATATTTGAGTTTCTTTGTATTCTACTTTCAAAGATGATTAGTGCCAGAAATAGGTGTCCTTTTACTCCAACTCAGTGGCAAGAGCTTGAACACCAAGCTCTCATCTTCAAATACATGGTTTCAGGAGTTCCAATCCCGCCTGAACTCATTTTTTCTGTCAAAACAAGTTTGGATTCTTCTTTGGCTTCAGGTCTCTTCTCTCATCAACCGAGTAAGTATATGTAAAACAAGTTGGACTCTTCTATTCCTTTGCTTTTGTGCTTATTAGCTCAAATTTTCTTTTATTTTTGAGGTCTTTTCCTTTGTGTGTATTTGTGTTATTTTCCAATTATCTCGGTAAAGCGCAAATTTTGATTTCTGGGTGGTTGCAGTTGGATGGGGTTGTTTTCAGGTGGGTTTTGGCAGAAAAGCAGACCCAGAGCCAGGGAGGTGCAGAAGAACAGACGGTAAAAAATGGAGGTGCTCAAAGGAAGCATACCCTGACTCCAAGTACTGTGAGAGGCACATGCACAGAGGCAGGAATCGTTCAAGAAAGCCTGTGGAAGTTAATTCAACAGCAGCTGCTTGTACAACAACACCAACTGCAACCCCAATCCTTTCACCATCCTTCTCATCAATCTCCATTTCCACTTCCAGCAATTGTAGTCTACCCTCCAGTTCTTCTTTCTCTTTTTCGCCACTCTCTTCTTCTCCTATAGCTCCTGAAATCTACAACCATCACAATTCTAACCAAACCACCCCTCTTAACCCCTTCTTTTATTCTCATTCTTCCACTTCCACAAGACCTCCTGGTTCAGGCTTATCAGTTCAAAGTGACACTTCACCTCACCATTTCTTGGACTCTGGAACAGGAATTCCTCACCGTTACAGGTTTTGTTTATAGCTTGAAGCAGATTAAATTACCTATTTTACTTTTGCCATCTTATAATCGCCTGTGAAAGTTGTTATTCTTTATTAATAGGTTTGTTCATGGAACAAGGGAGGGTGTGGACGAGAGATCTTTCTTCCCTGAAGCTTCAGGGAGTGTAAGAGTTGTACCTGATTCTTATCAGCCTTTGACAGTGAGTTCTTACAAAAGCTATCTTCAGTCCGAGTTCCAGGGCATTCATGACATTGGTTCAAAGCAGCGGCAGCAACAACAAGAGCAGCATTGCTTTGTTTTAGGTACTGATATCAAGTCAGGTAGGCCAATCAAGTTAGAAAAAGATGATGAAACTCAAAAACCAGTGCACCAATTTTTTGGGGATTGGCCACCAAGGAACACTGAATCTTGGCTTGATCTTGCATCCAATCCCGGGGTCCATTCAGGCAAATTCAATTTCACTATCATATTTTCTCCCTTTTCGTACAAATTTTTGTCCACTTCTCACACCTGATATTTTTGCTTCTGCAGATGGTTGAGGTCTCAATAATGGATCTGTAAATTATGGCCAATACAGCGCTTGTTTGATGGGTCAATTCCTTGGCTCTTGAAATTGTGGCTAGGACTGTTTTGTTCTGATAAAGGTTTGAAACAATGTAGGGCCATGGGAAGATATCTATTTGGTGTCACCTTGATAATAAACCTACTTTATCTTCTTCCCTTGAGGAAACATGTTTGAAATTTGTAGACTTGCTTGTTTGACTGGAATCCTCCTGATATGCTTCAAGATCTGAAAACTTTTATTATTTGTAAGATTTCTCCTTTTTGGTTTTTGCTTTGTAATACAACAATCCATTGCCTTGGGGCCCAAAAGGCATGTGAAATCAGAACTTTGTTTTCCATGCCAAGCTCTGCTGGCTTATTAGTTTCTTGCCACCGAGATATAAGCCAGTAAACCACCATTCAATGTCAGATGTTTATCGATCCAGAGGTTAGCAGCTGTTAAGTAAATTTTTAAGCTTGCATTAAATTGTAGGGTTGTTTTTGAAATTTTATGCTTTCCTTGTATCTCCAATTTTTTCCCTTTTCTTTTTGTTGGATCATTCAAGTCAATTTGGGTCGAAGTTCTATATCTCTTTCCAAATTCCCAAGGTTTTTTCGGAAACAGATTAATCAACAAAATCCAGGGACATTGGACTAACATCAGCCCTAGGAAAAAGAACAAAAGCCAAATGTCCAAAAGAAGGAAAGCCAGCATTGAAAGTCGCTAAGCACCATTGGTTTTTGGTACAAAAGAGGAATAGGGTCTCCCATCTGCTACTAGCCTACAGCCCGCATAGATCTCGTTTTGAGCCTCTCAGCATTGTTTCAGGGGACTGGACTGCACTGCCAGCCATTAATTACCTCAAATTATCAACAGCCATTACAAAATAAATTATAACTAGCCAAATTAAGTTGAAAGAAAACAGAAAAAGGTTTGAATTTAAAACTATACTACTCTGCAAATCTAGTTCAATCTCAATGCATACACCTTTGAAAGGTTGGCCATATCAAAAAAAGGAAGCTCACATCTACCTCAAAAGTTTAGATGTGGAAAGGCAATTTCCCATTGTTCTGTCAAACAGTGAATGTGATTGACACCTGATGACCATGACTCCAGTGGTGTGAATGTGTGACAATAACGTTCTTATCATGGCCTGAGAAGCAACTGGCAAATTATAGAATTGAATTACTTGTTGTCTTCAACAAGGCATACTAGGCTATTCTTCTCGCAACACTCCAGCTCATCCTAGCTAACGTTAAACCCCGTTTGGTATTAAAGTAGGATGCTAAAACTAATGTCAAAGAAAGATCTTTTGGTCTTTCAGGAAAGTTCAGCTGCTTGTCTTTTTAACGAGATTGTTCTCCAAATTTGAAACTCTATGAGGTTTTTGATTTGCGAAATCATAGATTCTGAAAAAAAAAAAATAAAAGAAGATATTTGAAGTTTTTTTTTAAATTTTTAGAACATTTAATTTTCATATTCATTCGTTTGGTTAGAAAAATTTACATATATTAAATTTTAAATAATTACAATAATTTTTTTGAAATAATAATTATAATCTCTTATTTTTATGAGAGAATTATTGAAGGTATTTTTAGTAAAAAAATACATTTAATAATCTTTTTAATTTTTTAGAATGAATTATTTAAGATGTTTTTGCTAAAAATATCTTAAATAACCCCCTCACATTTTTATGAAGGGATTATTCAAAGTATTTTTGATCAAAAAATACTTTCAATAATCTCCTCCAATTTTTTAGAAGGGATTCTCTTAAAATGGATTATTCAAGATGTTTTTAGCCAAAAACGTCTTCAATACTCTCTTCTAATTTTTTTGATCGGGATTATTCAAGGCATTTTTTTTTCCAAAAATGCCTTTAATATTTTTCTCTCATTTTTTGAGGGAATTATTGAAAGTGTTTTTGGTCAAAACCGTATTAGATAATCCCCTTCAATTTTTTAGAGGAAGTTATTAAAGCATTTTTGGCCAAAAATATCTTGAATAATCCAAAAAAAATACAACGATGAGATTATTCAAGGTATTTTTTTAGCAAAAACTCCTTCAATAATCCCCAATACAAAATTAAAGTGAATTATTCAAGGCATTTTTTCGCCAAAATCGTCTTGAATAATCTCCTAGTAAAAAAATTGAAGAGATTATTGAAGGTGTTTGCTGGGCAAAAATACCTTGAATAATCAATTTTCCTTCAATTTTTTATGGGATTATTCAAGACGTTTTTACCTAGCAAACGCCTTAAATAATACCTTACGACAAATTTAATAGGATTACTTAAAGCATTTTTTTTTTTTTGTAAAACACCGTTAAGTGATCATTTTTAAAAATCATTCTCCTTTCTTGAACTTTGAAAACCCAAACAACTAATACAATAAGCGATAAACCCAAAGCTGCATTGCAACCAACCCCTAAACGATCAACCTATTTAGTTTGCATTTTGGTTTCTTCATCTTTCTCATGTCTATCGACCATCAACAACTCAACACCATTGCACCTCTTTTTTTACAGATATGTGCATACTTCATCTGTGTGTTGTATTATTTATATTCTTAAATATAGGTTTTTTTTATTCATTCTTTACTGTATATATATATATATATAATTTTTTGTTTGTTTTTTATTCATTTTATCGTCAACTTAGTAGCCCAACCTCATTTTATTGCATGTATGATGTTTCTTTGTAATTTAGTTTAAATATTGTGGTTTACTGAATAGTATTGTGAAAATTTTATGTATATTTTTTACTCATCATTTGTTTTGCATGAAATTTTTATTTAAGGTGGGATTCACAGTATGATTTACACCCGTAAAATATTATTAGTTTGAGGATGTTTTACTCATATTAGTTTAGTAACTATAATATGATATTAGTTGTATTTTATTACTGTGTAAAATTTAGAGAGACAGTTTGGTATATTTTGTATAATTATATAAAAATCGCAGGTATTATGGAATTAGAAGAACATATGTCTTTTACTACTAAATATGAAAAAGACACACCTGTAGTGAAAAAAAAAAAAGCAAGAAGACGAAATAAACAAATTTAAGCGACTAACACAAAAATTCATGTCACTTCAATCAAAGTGGGCAATCTGTATATGATAGAGTTGCCAAATTGGTTAGTCATATTGGGGCGATCGTCCGTAGTAGCTTTTTTATTATGTACCATAATTGGTGAAGAGTTTCTGATGATCTAAAAGATCATATATGGGAGTATGTTGTGGTATGTTTATTCAACTATTTCATAATATTTGTTAAATGATCATTTAATTGAAATTCAATATGTTCATATTAATTGTTTTAAATTTATTAGGAATGGTTTGACTTCCCAAATAAGTATAAAATGCTTGTGTTGCAATCGATTAAGAAAGAATTTAGAGACTTTAAAAGCATATTGACAACCCAATATATTTTACCGTTTGCTTATAATAGTGATATGTTGGCTGATTCTCTTTCATCATATGCAAATGTTATCAGTTATCAAGATTGGACCAATTTTATATAATATATTATGTTAATTGTTTATAAGATTTAATATAATATATTCGATATCTTAATATGTGATTTACCTTATTTTTTCTTTTTTAAAAAATAAAAAAACAACAAAAGAACATCCGGGTCAAACAAGTATATCACCATCAGACATCAAAAAAGAGTATGCAAATGTCAAGTATGATCTTGTGAGTATTCACACACTTGTTTTATACTCATAAATGAATATTTATGAACATTTGTTTAATAGATTTTGATTTTTATATATCAAACCTTTTATTAGGAATCATCTAGCTCTAGAATCGAAGTTTCTAGATGTGATGTGTGAAACAAAGACATATGCAAAAGGATGGATCGTTTACAGATAAAGCAACTGAAGAAATGGCTAAAAAGATTATATGTATAACTACTCATTTTATCACATATGATTGGCTTTGAGCTTCTATGTATGACTATATACTTGTATAACTTTACAATTACGCCCCATCTTATTATTATATTTTAAGATGATTTTGCTACTAAATTTAAATCCGATGAACTCCCAATCGATTATGGCGAAGATCCATTGTCTTTAGCATTAAGAGCTAAAGAAAGAAATGGTCAAGTTTATAAGGTTGATAAATTTGTGTTGCCATCAAAGTTCTTTAGTAATCAACCTAAAATCCTTTCACTGATGAATGCACAATATAAAATCAAATCATTCAGCAATAACAGCAAAGGCTTGATGACCAAGAGCAATGCTTGAATATTCAATAGTAGCGACTCACAGTTTTTGAGGTGATGTTGGCAACAACGTAGCCTAACATGTCTAGAGGGCAGTCGGATAGCAACATTCAGCAAAAACAAGCTTATATTTCAAGTCAGCCAGTAAATTTTTCCTCTAGTATCAACCATTTAGTATGATTTTGTTTATTCACTTAATATCTATTTGTATATTATATTTATTAATTTAGTTTTAATACTTATATTTCATTATATATTATAGCAGGATGTTGAAACTCATAGGATGACCCTTGCTGGATTTGCCATTGATACGTTATCTAATTATGCACTTAATCATTTATTCAGAGAAAACCTCATTACCGTTGAGTCTAAGGATGGATTATTTGATCATCCATCAGTTTTTTATATTGGGAGGCCTAAGATTGAGGTATTTTGTACTTTAGATGAAATATCAGCTGCTAATATTGTTGCCTATATGAGGTTAGCTTACAAATTTAAATATGCAAAGTCAATATTTATTAATCAATATTATGGTATATTACTAACTAGTATTGTTGATTGTTATCATGCAACTTTCTATATAGAGAGATCAAGGTGAGACAAATTACCTATAGATTCAGATTCTTTGACCCAAATTTGATTAGTGAGTAGAGTGGCATTGTTGTTATTCATGGTCTTTAGGCCATACTTAATTAACTCTACTTAACCAACGACAAAGCCTACCAGGATATTCATAATTTTATAAAGAAGTATTACATGTTATTATATTATATTGTGTTTCTTTATAATTACTTTTATTTTTGTATTAATAATTTTTTTGTTCAATTTAGGAAAATATCTGCAGTTGATAAGAAAGCAAAGATAAAATAGGTGTCATTACCGATAAATGTAAAATTTATTCTTTTCTACTAAGTTTGTTTAGATAAATATTCCTTAAACCCACTTTATTTTTTAGATATCTTGTCAACCAGGATATACTGAATGTGAATAATATGTTCTTCGTTTTATAAGGGAGATAATTTTATATGATTTTATGACCATACTATTCAAGGTTAGTTTTAATTCCATACAATATTAATATCTTCCAATAAAAAAAGCTAAATTATGTTATCATCTATTAATATTTACTTCTGATTTTTTTATAGTGGAAAAGTAAATGAAACTTCACGAAAAACGAACTTGATAAAATCCATAAAGATTAGTTTGATTATGTATTATCGTTTGCTATATCTTGCGGTTAGAAAATGTTGATTAGGTATAAATATATGCATTACAATATTTTTAATATTTTTAACATGTTATGTTGAATGGATAATTTTTAATTTTTGATTGAGGTATTATTTTAATATTATTAGTATATATTTGTTTTATATCAATTGGTAACTTATATGAATACACATATATTGAGTACAATTATTTAAAAAAATATTTTTATATGGCAACGTTATCAATTATAAATTTGGATGTGTGGCATAATATTGAAGTATTACAATGTTCATAATTTAAATTCAAAAATGTAATTCGTAGTTGCCAAATATGTATTTGATTCACATAAGTACGAATTCGATATAAATAAACCCATGTTTAACAACGAAGCAGTTATTTGCATATCTACAACCTTTTATTTTTTGTTTTAATTAAATAAAAAAGGTTTCCAAAATTATACAATGGATCTATAAACAACATGTAGTGCGATCTACATGTGTCCAAAAAGAAAAAGTCAAA